CTCTTCAACTTACTTCACTACAATAAAAATGCAACATATAAGTACGTGTAACACCCTCGGTGTTACACCCTAACTCATTTACTAAAACATGTCATGAGTATCATGTTTATGTGTTAATGCATGTTATACAATGTGTAAATAAATTTATTGTAACTTAAAATGATCAATAAAAATGCTAAATGAAAGTTGATTCAATAGCTCATGTATATCAAGTAGGGTTGAAAATCAATTTTTATTAAGCAAAAATACTATAGAACATATGTGTGATACTTAAATAAAATTTGAAGTACAAACTTTATAGATGACAGTGAAATACTTGTCGTTAAAAAATGATAGTACTAGCTAATATTTCTACTAGCCTAGAAATTGCAAATTGAAATCAAGTGCAGCTCAAAAACTTAGAAAATTTCCAAGTTTGTCAACAGCTAGACATTTCTATGTTTAGCAAATTATTTTGAGAGATTGGGTTAAGGATTTGGTAGTCTTATATGCCATCTTGAGCATGGTGAAATTGGTTTGCCTCCTGAAGCAACCGTTTAGTTGTTTTGGACGCTTTAAAATTCGTGCATTACTCGGTCTCGGGCTGGATGGCCGCCTGGGCGCGGTCACCCCGCTCGGGCGTTCGGCGTCGCCACACTGGCTGTTCCGCGTGCACGCGTGCTGCTGCGCGTGGCCGGCCACGGCTGCTCTGGCTGTCGCTGGCTCCTGGCGGTGCTGCCACCGGCCCCGCCGCACTGTCGACCGCCCCGCACCGCAACGCAGCCGGTGCCGGTGCCGTCGCCTTGCCGTCATGTCCGTGCCTCCCTCTGCATCTTGGCGCCGCCGCCGGCCAAGAGCAATGCCGCCTCTGCCACGCGCATGTGGCCGGACTCACCGTCGCCTTGTCATTGATGGCACTGCGACGTGCGCGCCTGTCTGCTAGCGCCTGCACGTGGACCTTCACATTCACGCCGACTGCATCCCTCCAAGGAGAGGACGAGTTGAGCCCACCTACCACCCCCCATCTCTCTCTCTCTTTCTCTCTTTCTCCCTCTGCTGTCGCCACGAGCCGCGCCATCAAATTACCTAGCGAACGATCACCTCCATTCAATTCAGTGCATCCACGGTTTCAACATCACGTCCTCTCGCTGCCCGACCCTACCCAGTCTTGAACCGTGCAAGGCCAAGCTCCAATTTGGAGTTTCTCCCGTCGCCGTGCCGATAAGGTCGTGTTCGGCCATAGATGTGGGCAACCCTCCTACCGTCCCTCCCGAGCCAATTTACTTGCACCACCAGCTTCGCCTCACCTCTCTCTCCACCTTGCGCACGTCAGCGGAACCGCTACCACCGTGGTGCGCCGCCGCACGGCTCGGTCGCACGTGGCCAGCCCTCCTCCACCATCCTCTACCCCAACCGTCACCTCGGCCTGATCCAGGTAGCCTTCTGATGCTCACACGCTAACCAATTAGGTCTGTAGCTACCCCAGCTCACCGGAATAGTGGCACCACTGCAGCCTTCCCCTACAAGTCGTGTCACCCCGCACCTCCGCTTAGCGTAGCCGCTCGGGTCGAAGATGGTGACCGGCCCGTTTGGTGGTCTGTCGTAGGTCCCAGTGCCCGGGCTGCACCACACAGGCCACCACGGGCCACCGTGCTTGAGTCACCGGGGTGGTGTGGGGAATTCAGTAAAAGCCAGGAGGTTAAGTGAGAAGGTTTGAGAGAGGGAGAAATAGTGTTAGGACTTAGTTATAATTCAGGAGAAGTGCAAGGTCTCTTTTGCAAAATTATGCACATGGATTTTTCCCTTGTGGGCCGTCTCAGCACATGAGCCCGACCTCGCATGGGCCGTGTACTGCAGGTCATTCTTGTATTTGTGTCACATGGGCCGCACGTGTGGGCCGTGCGGGAGATTTTATTTTTCTTTTCCTAAGGAATTAGAAATGATTTTCTAATTTAATTTTTGAGCTAATCTTTGGTAAATCATATAAAATCATGTAGGTGTCAAAAAATTATGAAAAAAAATTGTTAGGTTCCTAAAATTGTGCTCTATCTATTAGTGTATTTAGTTCATATATATACATGTTGATACTAGGAGCCATTAAATCATTTGAGAGTGCTTAATATTATTAGATTAAATATTGTAGGAATTTCTGTGGTAAATTGGTGATAGCTTTAGTCCTAAAATTTTTATGGTGGCTTCATTGTATTATTATGTGCTCACTGTAATTTTTGTAAATTTAGAATAGACTAATTATTAGGGTAGTTAAATGTTTTTTGTTTCAAATATGCATTAAATCATTAGTAGAAATAAAGATATATCCTTCATTTGTAGGGCTAGATGTTTATTAGTTGAACCCAACACTTTGCTTGGTAAAGATGATAGTTAGCTTAGTACCTTAGTCTTGAGAGCTAGCTTACTGGTTTAGTATGCGTATTCTTAGTTTAGGAGTTGTTGCATAAATACTAAGTGTTGCATCATCATCGCATGCATATAGAGAACGAGTTGGCGGAGATCATGACCACCGGCGATCATGAGTTCGAGGAGATCGTCGAGGAGAACAAGGAGGAGATTCTCATGCAGGAGGAGGTCCTGGAGCCGCCACTGACTGACTCAGCTGGCACCACGCCTGCCCAAGGCAAGCCCCAGTGCATAACCCCTTATGTTGATAATCACTGTTTATATATGTTATGTGCACTTACGTTACAGGAATTTTATGAAAACCACATGCATAAATATATCTGTCCTAAGAGTCTTACTAGTGCAGGTTCAGATAGCTGGTCTGCTTAGGTTTTCAATAACGTGAGTAACCTATCATTACTCACAATAAGTGATTATTATATTTACTCTTATGCTAAAATAATAAAATGAAAAATAGAGATCGGGCAGGGATATAGTATGGGTATTGGTGGGTGTAACAGGTTGTGTCCTGTGGCCAACAGGGCTTAGCTTGGTTACACTGTTTTCCCTGTTCATGTCGATTAAGGACCGTCCGTTGCTGTGGATGGTAGTCAGATCATAGACTATTATCCTGAGCACATACTTGCTTATGGGAGCGGAAAGGCTCGTTACGCTCTTATCGTGGGTTCCGTCTATTTTCGGACCGACTGATTAGAGGGGGGGAAAGATGAAGGTCTAAGCACTATACTGAGACTGGATCTCAAGTGTGGGGGCTTAAAGTCTAAGTTTAGACGGGGACCTAGACCCCGTGATAAAAGTAGAATGGGTTGGTCTTGTTTGTGCCTGGGGTACAAACGGGGCCTGTGTTTCTAGGTACCCAGCTGGGATACATTGGTTCACGAATCATCATTTTCGTAAGACGGTATGACTTGGCTATGGTCTAGCACTATAGTAAGAACTGGAAGATGAAAGATGGTAAAATAGTTTTGATTGCTTAACTCTTTCTTGAAAGTAGAACATGTGCTTACTTAGGATGGTTAGCTAATGAAGTAATCATGACTGCTAATAAAACTTGATCTTAAGGACGTACTCCTAGTAATGCTTTTCGCAAACAAAAAGAAAACAGCAAACCCATATTGCCTATCATACTCTTTGGAGTCAGGAAACTATTCCTACTAGTCGGGTAAGTCTTGCGAGTATATTGTGTACTTAGGGTTTATTTTACCCTTGTTGCAGGTGCAGCTTGAGGAGTAGCTCTTGTGTGGAGGATTCTTCTAATGGGCACTGACAGATACTTGTATCGTTTTCGCTAGATGTTTATTTTCATTCCGTTGTTTAATTATCGCACTCTGAACTCTGATAATGTAATAAATAATTTATAAGAACTCTTGTTGTATAAAATGGACTAAGTATTGTAAGCTCGTACTCATTATTAGATTCTGGATGTAAAACGTGGATTGTTTCGAATTCTTTCATGGGGTGGGCTCGACGGAACTGTCCGATGTAGCTAACTTTCGGAGTGCTTAGTGTCTAGTGGAAGACAAGCGCCTCCGAAAGCGTGTTATTTTTTACGGTTCTGCCACAGTACGTTCCATACATGCCTAATAATAAATATACAAATATATTCCATATACAACTATATTAGCTTAATTAATCTATATCAAAATTATAATTATTAGAACAAATTTAATTCTAAGGATCCAAACTGACCCTTAGGTTCTCATCTAAACGAATTTTGATGTTACTTTTTCTTAATAAAATATACCTACGCCTCAGAGGGTGGTCATCTACCACTCCCTAGTCCACGGAGGACATGGGTGCATAGAAGAAGTCGTACGCGGTGGATGTCTGTCAGAGGAATGCTCGTCTACAATGCAGATCTGTGTTTTGTGGGCTGGGAATCAGAAAGGTAGCACACGCCACACGGCACACATTTATATTGGTTCAGACATAGAGTGCCCTATGTCTAGTCGAGAATCGATCTCTTATCTCGTATGCTTAAGGATTATATGGCGCTAATGTGTTTGTCTAGCTACAAGCTTAGATTATGTCTTATCTAAAAAAATTTGAAACCACGTATTTCCTTAACTTGGCGTGAATGTGAGGTTGTGTCAATATTTGAGGTGCATACGAACTGATCTGAGATGTGCAAACTTCAAATTTTGACTTGAGTTACATGTAAAACTATGTTTGAGGTGTATCCATTTTAAGATTGATGTAAGGGTCCTCTTTATTAAAATTATTTAAAAACAAACATATCCACCTAAAATGTGCTTACATGCTAATTTTTAGAATTTCATGATCACTTGTAGGTATTATTAGAGTAAAATGATCGTTTCAGTTACATTTCTTCACCACTGCACAATACTCAAAACTGTCATGTACACTGCTGAGATGTTTTCAAACAAATTAACAGCCTTTTGACTTGTAAGGAATTCTCGATTATCATTAATTTGCTCGTAAGCTTTTCTTTTGTAGTAACAAATTGACAGCAAACTCATCGGCACGAACTGAACGGATGCACGAGTGCGACTCAGAACCTATAACAGCACTACAGCTACAGCAAGGGGCTCATCTGCTTCAGGCCACTCACGATGCTGTACTACTGAGGCAGCGATCATATATCAGTGCGCTAAATAGGTGACGAACAGCGCAGCGAACATGAGCAGGTACGCGATCGCCTGATCTATCCCCTTTGCGTCAATCACCCGCGCCGTCACTGCGACGGTCGCCGGCTTCTCCTGTGCTGCCATGGACAGCTGCATGAGCCCGGAGAAGAAGAAGGCCGTGAACAGCAGCACGTACGCCTTCACGGATGCCATTAATTCACAGCTGCTGAAGAAGCTGAAGAAGAATGAAAATGCAAATGTGCCTGCTAAGCTCTGTGATTTGTTTGGAGATGCAAAGGAATTGGAGGGCATGCATATATATATAGATGTAGTACATGGGCAAAGGTGTGATGAACATGAACTCTCAGTGTGCTTAATTAGTTTGATCGTAGGACTGAAGGGAAATTTGAAGTTATTATGAAGAGAAGATGAATCGGTCAGTCTGTGTCTGGCTCGGCAGGATTGACTATCTTGGTCGCCAAATAAATGTGCTGAATATTTCCATCTCGGCGGTTTTGTCTACTTCGCATGTGTTCAGTTCAAAACATGAGATGGCCGATGACCCGATGTCTCGTGTGCATGTTGTGAATAGAATTTTGTTGGTTGAAATCTTCAGTAAGTAGCAACGGACAAAGCTGCAGAACAATGTTGACTGCGCCCTGCCCTGACATTCATGTGATCTAGTTTGCGGACAGAAGACGTCATGCCAATGTCATATACAGATTTGAACCGGAGAAGCCCCCTCCCCCGTGTCGTCCATAGGGACTCGGGGGCGACACGCCCACCGCTGCCGTAAGCCTAGGCTTCCTCCGGCCACCGCCGCCGCTCCGGCGAGCGGTGGCGGCGGCCCGTGGCGGTGCCAAAACAAAGGTGGCGTTCGCAGCCACTTATCTCCTACCCACTTTTTTCTGAGTCACTCTCACTTTATGCTTCGTTTGCTAGCGGCTGATGATGTCGTTGAAGCTGCGGCGGCGACGGATTCGGGGTCTCCAGGGCTATATCCGGCCCTCTCTGTAACAGATCTGCAGCCCACATGCCGAACGCGGTTGTGGCCGGGCTCTGGTGCCCGGCAATGGCGCAGAGGGCCCAGGTGCTTGGCTGCGCACTCAACAGTGCCTGGCCAACCGATCTGGGGCAAGCCAAGTGCCGGCGACTGCTCAGTTCGGCCTCTCAGCGTCTGGATCCAGGGGTGGGCTCCAGATCCTCACGGTGCTTTGCCTCTGCAACTGGTGGCGGCGGGCAGCGGCGGCGCCTGGATGTGGCCGCGCAAGACTTGGTCGGCAACGGTGCGGCTTGGGTTGGCCTAGGTGAGGCACTAGACCTAGCCCTTCTGGGTTGGCTCCTGGTGGTTGACGGTGGCTCTCTAGCTCAGGTTGCCAAGCGGCGGCTCTCGGTGTGGCGCTGCGCAATGCATGCATGAGTTCTGGGCAAAAAGCTCAGCCTGCCTCTCGAACGGGCCAACGATGGTGATGCTAGCTCCGGGCGTCAATCCCCTCCTTGGAAGCTTCATTGAAGGATCTCATGTTGTCGTCAATGTTGACAGCGAAGGTCTCTGAGTAAAAGCCCTGTCTTATTAGCTCCTAAGGCCGGCGACGGTGCGTCAATGCATTTAAAAATATGGTTTGAATATTTTTCATTGGAATACAATGGAAATTTGTGTTAGATATTATGGGCTTGGCCCATTTATTTAATATTTGTATTAAACTCTATGGTCCGTACACGTGCATTAATGGTTTTTATATCATATGGGAATTTAATCGAGAGGCGACTCTACTTAAATACTTGATCATTGATCGATCTATTTGAGAAGTAAAAGTGAATCACCTGGATGTCACACGCGCGCGCGCGCCGCCGCCTGGCCCGGCCCGAGCCCGTGGGCGTGGCGTGGGCGGCGAAAGTGAGAATGAACGGACGGGCGAGGCCTTTATTTTTTACACTCAGTTTCCTGTGATGAATTGATTGGAGGAGTTTCTGTTAACTCCCGTGACTTCTGGCTCTCCGTCTCCGTCTCTCCCACCGCAGGGGGGAGGTGTGACCCCTCGGTGCCGTCGGCTTCTCGTCTTCTGGCCTCCGCCTATAAGACAAATCCTCCCCTCTCGGTTAAGCTCTCTTGGCGAAGTACACCACTTTCCAGCAAGCGCAAGTCTTTCCCGCTCCACCTCCGGCGAGCACCAGAGATGGAAGAGTAGGCCTCCGGAACGCGTCTCCGTCGTGGGCTTCATCTGCTCGGGTGAAGACGGGCGATTACGTTTTTGGGGAGTGTCGGTGGTGGCACGACTACTCGCTGGTGAACCTATAGCGGTGCGTCTTCACGGCGTCCTTTCTCTGCCTTTGCATCGAAGGGACGACTACAGACAACAAAGCACCACCATGGCCTTTCTCAGTGCGGCGGCTCCGCCAAGAGGTATAATCTCCTTCACCCTCTTCTGAGTTTCATTATCAATATCATGATGTTCCTAGGTAATACTACTTTCATATTCAACATGCTCTGTTTGGTTGATTTGGATTATTATGCTAGTCTTTGTTTTTTACGGTTCCTTTTAATTTTGTGATCATCATGATCTTGATATTTGAGAACACATCTTTTATATTTATGATCATGTCTGTGAGGCTTCAAATTTGAATAAAACAATGTTTCACATATGTTTCGGGTTCTATAATTTGTCTTATTATCATGTTAACACTTGTCATGAATTGTTTCTGTCATTTTATTCATGACGTCACTCTTATTTTTATTGCGTCATTTTTATGGATTAAAATAAATATGAAAATGCCTTATTTATCAACAATTTGTCCTAACTATCTTCAAAACCGGATGACCACAATACAACCAAATCTAAGTTAGCCAAGTCATGCATTCTTGATGTTAAATGCAGCTCCCTAAATTAAGATTTAATTATGTTCAGTGACCAACTAGTTTTTTTTGAAACAGTGATCAACTAGTTTTAGTGAGACAACTACTTCTCATGGTATTTGCCTCCTATTTCAGCGGTTAGGTTCATCTATTTTTTGTTAATACAGTAAAAATAATGCAAATGTATCTATCTATACCTAATGTTTAAGAGCGAACATTTCTTTTTTCTGTCTCCCACTCTATTAGTCTCTTCTCTATCCGTCTGTCATTACTTTTTCTGTCCCTCGATCAAATCCCTCACATATATAGATAATGTTGGATATTCACATTTCTTCGATCTAGAAGCAGATTGAGGGGAATAAAAAAATATTCGAATACATCTATTTAACATCCATATTAAAATCGAATATGAATCATATATGCATATTGACGCTGAAATGGAATGCAAATATTGGATCTTTCGAATATTTAGACATCTAGATCTATCTCTATTGGATATACACTATCTCTAGATACATACTACGTATCTAGAAAAAACTGAAAAAACTTACAATTTGGAACGGCGATAGTAGTTTTAAAATATTTATGTATGAATAAATGCATTAGACAAGATCTATTTCCTTGGGATATGTTAAGGGTAAAATTTCCAGGGGTTCGGTACTTGGGTGCCATCTTGCATATTTACTTTGGGCTTGATTGTTTGAGTTTTAGCTTTTGGTTTAAAACTTGGCTTTCTGGTTATTGGCCTCTTGCTATTGATTTTTTTTAAATAAAATTTTAACTTCTCAGCACACAAAAAACCAGAAAAACTATTCTCAGCATGTTTTTCAACTTTTAATTTATTTCCTCAGATGCCACCTTTCTAGCTATTTCTTGGTAGATTAAGCTCTTAGTTAATTTTCTAGCGCATGCAACTTAATAATATTCTACCTCAAAATAAAGTAACACGATTTGCACAAAAGCATATTGTGCACCTCTTTCCCGTAGGGTATGGAGTTAAGGCGAACTAATTTGCACATACATGCAAAAACAACAATATGTTGTGTATATATAATAAGTGGTATAATTTTCTAAAAAAAATTAAAATATTTGAAATTATCAGCAGGATACATCATCGTCATGCATGCATAAATTGCTTCTCAAACAAATAGACAAAAAACTGATCAGAAAAACTCCTAACTGAACTGATACATGAATGCAGTGAATAGGAACCGGAACGACGACCGGCATTACATCATACAACGAGCTTGTGTTGTCTTTACACCAGACACAAAACTATACTACGATCGAGACACTGATCAGTGAGCGAAATAGGTGACGAAGAGCGCAGCGAACATGAGCAGGTACGCGACAGCCTGATCGATCGCCTTTGTGTCGACCACCCGCGCTGTCGCCACGGCGGTCGCCTGCTTCTCGTGTGCTGCCATGGAGAGCTGCATGAGCCCGGAGAAGAAGAAGGCGGTGAACAGAAGGATGCACGCCTTTGCGGTCGCCATCTTCTGTCGCTGTATTAGCTAGAGTTTCTGAAGCAGCTTCCTGAAATTCTAAACTCTGATCCTTGAATAGCTACTAGTGAAGGATGTGCTCCTATAGCCTAGCTCTCTGATGCTTGTGGCGATGGAGAGGAATCGGTGGCTATACGTATTTATAGTGGCAGAAGGGCAGGAAAATTAAGCGTGGCGATCGAGCTGCATGCCCTGTTTGATCAAGACCTGTGAGGAGAATTTGAACCGACCTATGAATCGGTCAATTCGGCTGCTCGGCAGGATTGACTTGACAGTTGAAACTTGAAACATTTCGTCTCGTCATATGCGCTGAGGTTTTGGCATGTGCAACCATCGCATTAATTTGCCAGGCCAATGTCTATCTCAGTCATTCATTTTACCAACCTCTCGTTGGCTCCTTTGCAAGATCTGCGTCAGTTCAGTTCACACCATCAGATGACTCTTTGGATGCCAAGTAGTCGTGAATGGAATCGTACGTAGAAACCTTCAGGGAGCGGCGGCGCTAGAAAACTGCACTGCATGACAACATTGACCGGGCCCTGTGATGTGCAGGATTTGAGGGCCTAGGGCAACGAGAGCCATCAACTACGCACGATTGTTACCGCTTGTGAATGTGGAAACTTTATTACGCGGGACCGGAGAAGCATTTTAAAAATATATTTGTAGTACATATTTGGATATCATATGGTACAGATATATATACTAGGGGATAGGATGGTTAGTTACTGGAGCCTTGTCATTGTGTTATAATACAACATATTTTTACTGGGAAGAAGCTAGCTGAGCTGGTTGAGGTCGTTGATGTATGTCCAAAGAATCTAGCTAGATTCAAGTTCTTGTCTAGAAGAACTTTGGTGTCTATTTTCTTCTTAATAAAATACCACTTGAGCCCTCCTAATTTCATCTATTTTATATTTTTACTCGAGCAAAGAACCGTTTGCTTCTAAGCTCTTTGTACAAAAGTGAGTATGTTCAATATTCTTTCTAAAATTTATTCTCTAAATCATCACTTGAAGAGCTATTTGAGTAAAAATTATTTTCTGTATTTTTATACCCTTTAGTACCTTCTTTATATCTTGTGTACGCTCTAGAGAGTCATTCTCGTTCTCCATCTTTGGCTAGCGAGAAATTCGGTATAGAGAATGTCTATATTTAGATATACCATTAAATTAAGAGGTTGCCGAAAAGTATTTTTTTACTAAAATCAATATTTCTGTAAACACTATTAGTGAAACGTTTTTTTTGGGCGGCTCATAACCCTTTGTAGGGGCGGTTTGGTCAGCCGCCCCTACCAAACCGTCTCTACAAATCATGTATTTCTAGGGGCGGTTCTCAGGGCGTCCCTATAAATTGATTTGTAGGGACGGTCTGTACTACAAACCGCCCTACAAATCGATTTTTAGGGGGCGGTCAGAGTACCAAACCGCCCCTATATATACGTGTTTGTATGGGCGGTTCAATCTCGAACCGCCCCTACAGACGCTTTTTCCGCAAAAAATTTCAAATTTACAATTCAAATTCGACCGTAAAACTTTGTTTGTTTCACAGTATTTCATCTAGCGTCAGCGTTGCTTAATGCCCCGCAATAACGTTCGAACGCGTCGTTCGCGTTGTCGAACGCCACGCCGCGATCAATGTTCGAACGCGTTCGCAAGGTTTCGAACGCCATGCGACCAGCGTTCGAACCCCTTAGACTACAAGCACAAGAGTATTATATAAACTACAATTACAAGTCCAATTCACAAGAATATATACAATCCATCATTAAATAGACATAATTCACAAGGTAAAACCAATGTCAAATTCCATACACATTGTTATCAACGTCCTAGAGCTAACCTTTCAGTCTCACGAAGATGTTGGTACTGAGGATTTCTATCTAAGTCAGACTCTCAGTCATGGTAGGCGCCTTTGACGTGTACAATCTGGTCCAATATGAAGTTGCAAAGGTCGCCGACGAGCTCTAAGAGTTGGTCATCCTTGTATGGGTCTCTTTTCATTTCTTTCTCTTCTTTCCACTACAAGAGAATAAGTTTCGATTTAGTATTTCATACCATGTGCGAAGTTTTTATACTACGGGTGAAGAGGTTCAAACTTACCCTTAAGGTGTGTCTCCTGTAGGCACTGGTGTTACTCATCATAGAACATATATAGTATCCACAATGTACACTCCCAGTCTTCTACTTGGGGCACTATGTGTTTTGCATATGAAAATGTTAAGTAATGCTTTTGACAGCCATGTAATGGAGTACTAAAGAAGTAAGTTACACTTACCGCACATAGTATTTTTATAGCCAGCTTTTCCTTTCTTGCTGGATCATGCCTTCCGTCATGGTTAGTGACATAGAACCTAAATTCCATGTTCGAATTATTTTAGTAAATACAACTTGTTAGTATCCAAAAGTGAACGTTACAAGAATGTATACAAATATATAAGGTAATGAGGATTGTCGATATGTATACGTCTTGAGAATCGATATGAAGTCTTTGTATGTCACCGGGTCCCTATCTATTGAATCAAAGACCCATGCCATGCTCCTTCCGACATCGACGGCTATATAAATCCAGTGGTTGATGCATGGATTTAATCATAGAACTAAATAAGCTTTTTTGCATCGAATAAAATATATCGAGCAAAGCTTTAAGTATACAGTTGAACTTACTCAAAGTTGTATGGTAACCATATAGTAGAGTGTTGTTGGAGAATTTTGAAAGCCAGGGCAATGTATGCCGCAACCTTAAGGGACTCTTCCCTTAGTTTCGCCGTACAGATGTGCTCTTTCTCCCGAAGAGTCTTTGCAGCAGCTAGCTCTTTGGCATTCAGTTCCCACTGTTTAGGGTAATTAAAATTTGTTTAGGCTATAGCTTGAGGGTCTATATACCCGGCTTTCACACTTGGCATTTGTTTGACAATGTGCACTTGCATTCTACAAATCATGGCGTGGGTTAGTTACAACAAAATTCAAAGATTACATTCATATCATATCGGGAGGACAAGGACTTACAGGCACCACGTGCGAATTAGATTCATCTCCATTTCTCCCAGGTGAAAGCATGGCTGTATGTCATTGAAGTCAAAGACAATTTTCTCGGCTGGGCTTCCAAATGTGCCGGTGGGGAAGCATGCTTGTATGAGGTCTATGCTCGTTGGGAGAACACGCAAGTACCAATCATAGAACCTTCTCATTCCAAGTGGTAGGCGCTGGATGTCCTGGTTTGATAGGAAGGGCTTGCCTCTTTCATATGTTTTCGGGCAATCCTTTGACCATTTGATGGCATCAATATTTGGATACTGCTTTGCAATTTGGTGGAGTTTGCTAGTGATGGCCTCCTCAGAACCCCGTGATGGGACTTTTTTAACTTGGTTCTCAGGCTTGAACTGGTCATGGGAATACCACTTGGACACTGACGAGACGTCTTTCATCGGAACATAAACTGGCCTTATGGTGATTTGATGCTTCTTTCGAAGTTCCCATTCAGGCACGTCCTCATCTTCTTATGCATCACCTTCTTCAGGAGGCACTCATTGTTAATGTATCGGCTGTGCTTGTTGAGAAGACTGTGGCATCTCATCATGCACTTGCTCGGTACGAGCTGGAGAAGGTTGTGGCATCTCATCAGGCACATGCTCGCTAGGAGGCGGACAAGAATGTGGCATCTCAGGAATGTGGTGGTCACAAGACGGTGAAAATATCTCCCCAACCTCAACAACTCGCTCCAAATTTTGGAGAGGGGGATGCGGCGAAGAAGCAGTCAATATAATGTCCCGTTTGTGCCAGAGGATGAACTGCCCAATAACATCTCCGAGTAACACCAGCCCCTCGGGAGTTGCGTAGTCTATCCTCCATTGCATGAACTCGGGCTTCACAAGATGCACCTCGACCCTAGTGTAGTCCGGTGGTATCTTATTATTGTGGTGTAAGCCACCGGGAGGATGTGCCACACCCGTTGCCACCTCCATCATAGTGTTTTACCGACCGCTGAGAAACACCAAGGTACAACTAGTTGGTTCCCGTATGCGATCGACGGGGGTTGTGGCTGCAGTGAAACCTTGGCTGCTAGGAACTTTCAGAGGGCTGCCAACTAATGCTAGTTCTCCCGATGGCGTCACTAATATACGTGGCTCCGTAAACAGTCCTTGCTCCTCCAGCGCCTTCGCAACTAGAGCCTTCACTTGGAGCTCAAGATTAGTCTCCCGGTCTCTGCCATGTTTCTTGTACATGTGCCTATCCTCTTCGAATCCTTGCTTCCAGGTCATCCTTTTCCCTAGCCCCCTTGTGCGGCCTGTGTGCTCCATTTTTCCCAAGCCAAGGCTAAGCTCGTCCCTCTCTCTGAAAGGATTGAATGAGCCATTCTTCTTGTCTTTAGCATATTTCAGTATCCTTGATACTACGTCTTGGGTCTCCGGCTTATCAAACTTAAGATTACCGTCGGATGATTCTCGTACTCTCGTGATATATCCAATTCCTTGAGCGTACCTTCAAATTCGTCACATCGATATTCCCAGTAGTTGTGGCCTCTTTGTCCATCTTCTTAAACTGCTATTCCTTGGCATAGTAGCCATCGGGGCCTAGATGATGGTGGTGTTTGTTCCTCATCGCTAGCTCGGTGTTACAGGCGCTCGAGCTCCAATGCCTCCAAAGTGAAGTCTTAGTAGCTGTAGTAGAGGCCTCGAAACATGTCAATCATCATCCGATCTTGAACTTGGAGTATCAAGGCATTATAACAGAGAAGAGAGGAGAAGATAATGTAGGGAATTTGCTAATGATGTCGAGTTCCTCACAAGTTCTTGATCATCACTCATATTTCATATAATGTATGGACTTAGACAATTTCATCATCGGCAAAACAAAGGAGAGGAGAGAGAGAGGGAGATTTGACAAAAAAAACAACAGTGCTTAACAAACATAGAGAAAAAGGTGTAAAAAAGCGGATGTTGTTTCCCAAACATAGAGGATAGGAGTTGATCAACGCCACATGGTTGGAAGACC